CCCCAAAACCCCAAAACCCCAAAACCCCAAAACCCCGCAATAACTGGTTGATATTGAAAATTTAAAAAATTACCGCAATTTTAATATTTTTGTTAAAATGGATTGCAAAGGAGGGAGTAAGAATCATATTAATACTATTTAGATCGTAAAGATTGTAGACAAGAGTTAACTAAGTCTCATAATAAGAAAAGAGACATAAAAGCGAACCAAAAACTAGCAGAAGCCCTCATCAATGCTCCTTGCTATAATTTTTCTGGATCACCAATGATCAAGCTCCTCTCAGAAATTGAGAAAAACGAAAAGCTGACTCCTGAATTTGTTGACACTTTCATTACAATGTGTATAAAGAGCAAGGAAAGCATTGATAATGGAGATATTTACTCTATTACAAACATTCCCAAAATCTTAAGCCAACTCGATACTTTTTGAATCGAGCATTATTTAATCCCAATCCATAATGCTAAATCTAAACACTGGAGTTTATGCTGAATCCAGAAAGATGGAAAATAAAGTATATCATTTTGATTCATTGTCCTTAAAAACCTCTAATGAAATTGTGAAAGAGCGGATCAATCATTTTGAAAATACACTAATATCTTTAGGAAACTATCCTAGACAGGAGAATACTTTTGATGGTGGAGTTTACATGCTCTGAATTTATTACCACCTTTCCACCGCAGAGGATGTTTCTGAGCTACTTTCACCTGACTTTGCCTTTGAATCAAAGTTTGAAGGTCAATTTAGTAGAGATTTTTTGAAGGACATTATTAACCAAAAGCTGAACGATAAAATTATTAATAGGCTCTGAAACCTAGGGATTGCCCTATCTGATGATCAAAGTTCTATTGAGCTGTCTGAGAATGTTGACACTCTAAATAACTCACAGTTTCCCAAAGGAGATGTAAGAATGGACGAAAAGAATTGATGTGAAATCGAGCAAGAAGACAACAGAGAAACCAAAAATATTTCTGATCTCAAAAACGAAGAGTCTGAACCAGCTCCTCCAAGAGTGGTGGTCAAGAAGGAGCACCATACTTACAATAATGAGAAGTTTTATTACAAATCTAACGTTCAAAAGCAACCAGAAAGAGTTTTTAAGTCAACAGATAATAATGAAAGGCTAAGATCCCAAATTAAAAAGACATTTGAAAAAGATTCTTCTAGTAAAGATATTTGAATTAGCACGTCTATAAAGTTATCGAAACAGCAAAGCTCTACATCTTTGTTGAAAGATAAAGTAATTAGCTCTCAAGCGGCTTACAGTACACAAAGAGTAACTTCACAAGCTAAGGAATCATCACCTCAGAATCTCAACAGTTCTAACAATTTGTCTGAGTTTGACAAGGAAAATATAAGCATGAACAAGCCTGAAGCTCTTAGATTCAAAACCTCCCAAGAACCGGAGACTTTAGCCTTATCAGATCTTAAGAAAGCCGCAGAGAGACCTCTAGTAAGTTGCTTCTTATAATTCGATAGATCACGAATAATTCTGCTAGAGAAGAAAGAGCAGAATATCAAGGAAGAGCAGCATACTTCAGAAGGAGACATTTTTGGAGATAAATTGCACTAATAATTAGGAAGAGCTGCATTTATAGCATCAAGCCCTTCCTAGAGTACATCTCTATTTAGTACTTCAATAATCTCAATGAGATTAGGGGTTTTGGGGTTTTGGGGTTTTGGGG